ATTTCGCAGGCAATGACCTGCAATTACGCTGGCACTGATCTGTTTTTACGCTGGGACTAATCCGCAATTGGACTGGCTCTGACCCGGAAACACGCTGGCACACTGATGGTTTCCTACCGTACCACCGGTTCCATGCCGGGGATCTGTGTCGGGAGCTCGCTGGGAACATCCCGTATTCCCGGCATCCCGGTTTCCCAATAAGTTCCCAGTACCGGCCGGATTCCGGCATTGGGCCCGGCCAATGTCGCCCCTTGGGGCGTTTCCGGTACTGGCCGGTATCAGTATCCCGGCAGGCCAATACCGCCCCATCCCCAACCCGGCGTGTTGTGCTACTTGGGATTAACCTGAAAAGAGTCAAAGTACAGGCTAGCTGGTGGAAGTAAACCATTTCGTCGTTTACCCTGAGACTGGGTTTTTTTTTTTTTTTTTGAAGAGCAGGAGTAACAGAAAAAACAGACAGGTCTCAAACTCAGCTACCTGAGTTTGAGACCTGTCTCCAACTCAGCTACCTACTAGGTTGCTGAGTTTGAGACCTGTCTGTTTTTTCTGTTACTCCTGCTCTTCAAAAAAAAAAAAAAAAAACCCAGTCTCAGGGTAAACGACGAAATGGTTAACATTAACCTGTTGTTTAGCTTTAAGTGTGGAAGCTATGTCATGGGTTACCTCAACCAGTTGCGTTGTTGTCGAAAGTCCAGACCGGAACCCATGCTGATCGGAATAAAGCAACTTGTTAGTTTCAAGGTGATAAAATATGTGTTTTGCTATTATATGTTCCATGACTTTACATGCTACAGCTGTTAAAGAAATTGGCCTGTAGTTGCCTACGGCCAGTCTATCGCCCGTTTTAAAGGTCGGGACAACACGTGCACACCGCCAATCAGAGGGAAGCTGGGATGACTGTAAAGAACTTACAAATAAACAATGTAAATAAAACGAAATCCATTCCGCATACCTCTTGAAAAAAATAGTCGGAATCTTATCTAGACCACATGCTTTCTTTGTGTCGAGGTGTAACAGTTTTGACAGAATTCCTTCTTTTGTTATTGTCAGTTGTGGCAGGGGGGGTACGGTATCACTCATTCGGTCTATCTCTGGCCCTGTTTCTATATCACCGACATTCTGTCCTGCCTTTCTTTTAGTCATGTTTTCCAAGTTCCCCTTTAGTGTCTCGCGTGTAAATACTGACTCTAAAAACAGGTTAAAACTATTTGCAAGAACAGTGGTATCTGTTACTATCTTTCCGTCCAGGGTGATTTGTTCAATATCTTCTTTTTTCGGGTTCAGGTATCGCCAGAATTTTGGGGGGTTGTTACTTAAGAAGTTATGAAGAGTTACTGAAAGGTAATTATGTTTTGACTTTTTTACCATTTCTTTAAGTTGTTGGCTTAACTGCCGTATGCTAACACTTACATTCTTATTTTTTTCTACATCTTTCAATTTTCGTTTAATGTGTATTATATTTCTTGTGATCCAAGGATTATTCCTCCTCGGCTTTTTCACTCTATTGGGTACGTATTTATTTATGCAATTGGAAACTGTGTCCTTGAAGTAATTCCATGCACGCTGAACATCACCACTACTACACAATAATTCGAAGGAGTTGAATGATATTTCCAAATGATCAAGAATGCTTGTGTCGTCGGCGCCTTCATAGTCCTTTATGTAAACTTGCTTGGTACTGAAGTCAACAAAACCATCTTATGATCAGATATGCCATCAGCCACAAACACTTTGTATTCACTAATATTATCACTTGCAAAGATTAAGTCCAACACTGATTGACTAGTGTCAGTTACTCTAGTGAATTCTTTTACTATTTGGGTGATGCTGTGGCTGAAGGCAATCTCGTCATTTTTTCGCCATTTACTTTGTCCGCACTTCCAGCTTGCAAAAGTTTCCAATTAACAGAAGACAAATTAAAATCACCCGCCAAAAGTACTCTCGTGTTGTCATTAACGTATTTATGCAGTATCAGATCGAAATCTTCTAGAAAATTAACGGGGCTGTTCGGGGCACGATATGCCGCGACAACAAGAAAGGATAAGTCACAATATTTTACAGAATAGCATCTCACTCAAACAACGTTCTAAGACAATACAATGTAAATCACACTTAACAGCAATAGCGACACCTCCTCCCCGAGAGCCCCTATCGTTTCTTATTAATTTGTAATTAGGTGGAATGACACAGTCACTCGTTACGTCGGGCGTAAGTCATGTTTCTGTTATAATGAGAATATGTGGTGCGTGACAGAGAAATACGCTTTCTAGGTCAGTGACTTTGCTTAATATACTTCGTGCGTTTAAATTGATTACTCGGAGTTTGGCCGGTGCGTATTCTTGCTTTTTTTGTCACTTAGCCCGTTCACTGCGGTTTCTTACAAACACGCGTTGATCCTGCTTCGGGTCCCATTCATATGTCTGATTATTGATTTTAAGTTTATCGTGGACTAGAAACACGTCATCCCCATCCGCCCTGTTCTTCGAGGCGCTGTTCCTTAGCTTTTTTCTTTCCCTGGTTTCTTTGGCATGATCGCTGCTAACACTGATAGTCGTTCCTTTCAACTTTTTGCAGTTCTTCAACACGAACAGCTTTTCGTTGTAGTTAAACAGCTTCATGATAACTGGCCGGCATGATTCGTTTCGTTTGTATCCTAATCTGTGGATCCGTTCGAGAGACGTGACTTGAACACCAAGCTTAACGTCAAACAATTCTTTTATCACCTTCTGTTTCAAATCATCTTCGCTCTCTTTATCTTCTTCTGGCAGTCCGTATATTATCAGGTTTTTTCTACGGCTTGATTTTCGAAGTCAATCAGTCGATCGTTCTGATGTTTTATCGTTTCTTCTAAACTTTGAATCTTCTTGTTAATTGCTATCACGTTTTCATTCAGGCCTTGTACTGTTTTCATTGTGTTTTCAAGTGTATTGATTTTATTGTTAATCTCCTTTATGCTATTCTCGAGACATGACTGGTTAGATTTTATATTATCTTGGTTTGATCTTATTTCCTTAATGTTCTCGGCAATGCCACTTTGATTAGCCAATATCTGACGAAGCAACTCTTCGACATTTTCGTCAGGCCCAGGGTTTTCCTCTACGTCTCCTGAGAGCAACAGTCGCAATATACAGCCCAACGTTACAACGTACCAACAATCATACAGCATTTCACGACACATTTGAGGGCTCGGCAGGACTAACAGAAATCTACAATCGCTACGGAACTCATGTAGATTTGCTGTATAACTAACCTGCGTGATGAACAAGGTGAATTTGAGCATCTTGATCGCTGCGTGGACGCCGAGCCCTCTCAGATCGTGCAGGTCCCGTTGATGGCTAAATAGCCCAGCCGTTGATGGCGTCGATGTGGGCGAAATGGTCGGTAGCCAATCTTGGCTGCCGAGTAGGATGGGAGCCGTGTCAGCTGCGTCATGTCGTGGCACGTAGAACTGCCTTGCGGTTTCAGACTGTCAGAAAAGCCACGGCAGCATCTGCGTGATGAACAAGGTGAGTTTGAGCATCTTGCTCGCTGCGTGGACGCCGAGCCCTCTCAGAGGCGTACTTTCAGTGTATTTCCACATTCAAAATACATATAAAGTACATTTTAACATATTTCAGACATATTCATTTTCGCTTGGGGCACCGTAAGTATTTTCGCGATAGTTGCATTTATGTTTATATATATATATAAAACTGAGAAGAAAAAAACCCTTAGTGAAAACAGCAACAACGGACGATTTAATCTTCGACGTTTCGGCCGGAGTCCGGCCTTCGAAGGCCGGACTCCGGCCGAAACGTCGAAGATTAAATCGTCCGTTGTTGCTGTTTTCACTAAGGGTTTTTTTCTTCTCAGTTTTATACCCACGCCTTCGGCCTCCCGCCACCATGCCCGTTATATATATATATATATATATATATATATATATATATATATATATATATATATATATATATATACATATATATATATATGCGTGTTAAGTGTATTTTAAACTAAATTATGATCGAATCTATTTACAACTCCTGCGATAATGCCCTTTGAACGTTGCAGGATAAGTTGAAATAATAAATAAACTAAGCTTCAATTCACCTTACCTACGATCGAAGCCAAAGCTACAAGTTCTGAAAAATAGTCTGTTATTTGAGGAAGGCGAACGCAACATCATAATGACTCTAAAAGGGCCACCGAATGCAAGCAAAAATCTTATACCCGTTCCTTCTTTATGAACACGGTGTTTACTTCATGCTTAAGTGGTCAAACCATTTCATTGCCCCTGCAAGAAAAGTCTGTCATATTTAAAATTTATGCCATTTGACTCAATATATAAAAGGAAAAATTTACTGCGGCCATAAATTAGAAGGTATCTCTCCTATTTGGATTACCATATAAAATGCATTTTAATTAGAATGACCACTTGACAGGCGGGGTACAGATAAAAATGTACCTTCTAATTGTTATAACCACTCGGTAAAAATCATCCCAGCTGAAATATCCGATTGGCTGCGTCAGTACTAATTGGAAGTGTAATTGGTTAAGAGAACAATATGAAAAATCTGTCCAATTAGGATAACCACTTGAAAGTGTGGTTCCAACTGGGACAGCCTGTTGGAAAATGAACACAATCGGAACGGTCAATTGAAAAGTTGTTTCAATTGAGACGAACAATTGGAAAATGCACTCAACGGAAGCAGCCAAATAAAGGTCGTGGTTTGAATTGGCCAGCCAATTGGAAAATACACCTATTTGAGTAGCCATATTGAAACTATGGTTTATATTGAGACAACAAATTAAAAAATATGCCCACTTGGGATATACCAAATGAAAGATATAATTTCAATTGGGCCAATCAGTTGGAAAATGCACTCAATTAGGATGCCGAATTTCGGCATCCTAATAGGCCCTTCCCAAAAGTGAGCGCCTCTGGTGCCAAACGAGCGAACTACACAAAATCCGCCATTACTGCGTCGTCGAGTTTTCGCACCGCTCGGCTCAGTGCTATATTGGTGAGATGCCGACTCACTGCTGCGTCCCCCAATGCAGCCAAAGAGGACCAAAAGATGAAGAAAAAAATAAGGTAAGTCATTGTTGTGAACATAGTACTTTATGGTTGTGAAGATGCATGCCAAAAATGCTAGGATTAATATAAATGGGGTTAGGCAGATCCGCGCGGAAGAGGCAGCCTCCATCCGTTCGCACGGGGTGAGAGTTTCAAAGGAACTGCACTAGGACGCTGATAACACATTAAATCAAAGTTAACCTGTTGCAAGGTCTGGTTGAAAAGTCAGCTGCACTCACGCTGCTCGATTTAGTTGCATAGGTCAACACGTTCAAAAGTATCGGGCGTGTGTTCGCCGCTTCGTAGTCGAAAGCACTCATGACGAATGTTTTCGACTACAAAGTCATAAAAGGATAACTCGCGTCCACGGAGCATAATCTTGAAATATAGTTGAGCTGCACCAGTGACCTTTCGCAAAGCAAATATCACTCTTTGTAGCCGCGGGAATATCTGAGAACTTTACCGAGTACTGGGAGTTTATTTGTAGCAACGTTTTGCGGTGCAGTGGTGTAAAGTTCAATCGATGGTACGAGCACCAGGGCGTAGTTTTGCAAAATATTTTGCCTGGACAAGTACTCGCGCGAGAAGTGTACATCGCTGGGACTGCTCGCGAGTCGCGCTCGTTCTTGTCACGCCAGATCCCAGAAGCAGTCGCTCGAGAAATGCACACCGCTAGCACTGCTCGCGCCCGTCCTTGTTACGCCAACCCAGAATTTCTTGGCAGGATTCATGGTGCGTCACTGTGAAGCATGCTTGTGAATCCTGACCTGAAGCAGTACAGCAACTATCTGCTATACCAGGGACCATTTCCTTTGGCAAAGTGAATAATAGCTTTAAAGAGTGCTGGAAGCGCAGAAGGAACTACGTTGCCTCAGAAGGTTGCCCTTAGCATAGAGCCCCCTCATTTACAACCCTATTACATTGCAGGCCAGTTACACAGTCATGTTTGTGTGCCATGATATAAACTAATGAATGAATGATTGAACAGTGAGGTGACGGCAGCACTGTAGAGTAAATCAAATATACACATGGGTGGAATGGGAAGCATGACTTTATTAGGGCAGCTTAAGCAGCTTGCTTGTTGAGACAAACCGACAGGGATACAAGATAATCTGTTAAAGCTTATCACGTCAGTTCCTATAGCTCAATACACTCAGTTGTTCATAAAGAGAGAGATAGCTGTTAAAGAAGACATCTCTTAGTATAACAGCCAGAAAAGAATATGTGTGCTTTGCAATGTTGCACCTGCATTATTTTAATTATATAATCATATTATGCAGGTTTCCTACTTCGGCTTTCCAAAGGACAAGGAGCTGTTCAAGAAGTGGATTGTTGCTATAAGGAGAGATGAAGGGAAGCATTTCAAGGTTTCCAAGTCGACAAAAGTGTGCTCCAAACACTTCAAGGACAAAGACTTCCTGCCTGGCTACGTGAATGGCAGGAAGTTCCTAAAAGAAGGGATTGTGCCCAGCACATTCCGATTCTCAGCTCCGAAAGTGCCGAGAAGAAAAGTTCAGAGGCGCAACACTCAACCAGTAAGCAACCCCATCAACATGATTGCTGCTGCTGCAGACGATGAATGCGACAGCACAGCAGCTTTTGAGAACCAGCCTCCACCACATCCAGGGGTATGCGTGCTGGCTGCAGGACTTCAAGGGCAAGTCGCCGTACAAGCTGCGCGAGTGAGTCAGCTGACGTCTGATCTCCAAGAAGCTCGAGAAGAGCTCGCTGAAGCCAGAAATGAGGTCCAAAAATTAACAAGGCACATTGAACTTCTAGAAGAATCGAAGAAGAAAATGGAAGAGAAACTGAGCCGAAAATTCTCAATAGAATGTTTCAAGGACAGCCCCGATGATGTGCTGTTTTACACGGGACTGCCAAACTATGGTGCCTTCCTTTCCTTGCTAAAGTATGTGAATCCTGGAAGCAACGGTGAAAACATCAAGGTGTGGTCAACCTCCTACTCCCGAGGTAGCAGCAAACAGGGGCGACCACGAAGCTTGCCCCCTCACGACGAGCTCTTCTTAGTGTTAGTCCGCCTTCGGCTTGGCCTTCTTGAGAAGGACTTGGCGTACCGATTTGGGATTTCAGTCTCCACGGTGTCAAGACTCTGCATAACGTGGATCAGTTACCTCTACCTGTACCTATCACAACTTCCCCTGTGGGCAACACGGCAGGAGGTCGACGAGGACATGCCACCTGCTTTTAAAGAAAAGTATCCAACAACACGGGTTATCCTCGATGCAACCGAGATCAAGTGCCAAGTGCCGAGCTCCCTTGTGCTTCAATCCGCGAGCTTTTCGACATACAAGTCGACGAACACCTTTAAGGGACTCGTAGGGATATCTCCAGATGGAGCTGTGACATTTGTGTCGCAACTCTTTCTGGGGTCAATGTCGGACAAGGAATGCGTACGGCAGAGCGGATTTCTGGAGCGTTCCTTTGATGAGAATGACTCGGTCATGGCCGATAAAGGATTTTTGATTTCCGAGCTCCTGGCGAAGATCAATGTACAGCTCAATATCCCTCCATTTCTTGGCCAGGGTACATTCACGGAGACTCAAGTCAAAGAAACTGAGAGCATTGCATCACTTCGCATACACGTGGAAAGGAGAATACAGCGAATCAAAAGCTTTCACATTTTTGATCGTGCCATCCCCCTGTCACTCGGGCCAGTAGTGAATGAAATATGGACCATTTGCACGATACTGACAAACTTTCAGAGCCCCCTGTTACGCCAGCATGAGGATGGTAGCACTGCTCTGGATTAGCTGTATTCGTTTTGCTTAATTTCTGCCTAAGCGTTTGAGGACGTCAATGGTCCTCCTTACACCATAAAGCTTTCCTTCAACTTTGTCTCTACGTGTTTTACATATCTTGCCAAAAGTCAAACTTGGGGGTTTTACGTGCCAAACCAACGACGGGCATCTGGCATGCCCCAGCGGAACTGTGGAACACAGCACGATAGATGAACATAAGAATGGAGCTTTTCACATTTTAGTTGTTTAGCCTGGCGTCGACCATATGTTACAGCCTAGGCTTGTGCCTTGCATATGTACATTTCACTACACTTTGGGGCAACCCTGTACTCTGGGGGCAGTCTTAGCCATACTGTACATTTCACTACACTTGTGCTCTGGGGCAACCCTGTACTCTGGGGGCAGTCCTAGCCATACTGTACATTTCACTACACACTTGTGCTCTGGGGCAACCCTGTACTCGGGGGGGGGGGGGGGCAGTCCGAGCCATACTTTGGTTAGCCTCGGCGGCACATCTGCTCACGAGTTCAACCATTCGGGACGTACCACGGAGCACACCTACAGTGTTATGGCTCGCAAAAACAAAACAGATGACCGGATGTGGCGCTGCTGTCAACTACATGAGGAGAAAGTGGATGTAGGTGCTGCTGTGTGACCCCTCTTAAGGCCCGCCCACACACTTGCATTTGACTAGAACCAACCGAGGAAAGGCTGGTTTTCAATACTGTTGTGATGGCTTGCGACCAGCTCAACAGCGGCGCATCCAGTTGTAAGCCGTTGCAAGAGGCTTAAAGACCGGTTTTTGTCTCAGTCGGTCGTACTCAGTTGCAAGTGTGTGAATGGGCCCTTACCCTAAAAGACAGAAGCAAAATACTGTGAGCAACAAGGCCCCAGTCTTGTCACTTCTTCTCGAGGTGTCTGCACCAGCACCATACAACAAATCCATTTAAAAAAACACGACAAAGTGTTGCATTTGCCACTACAACCTCACTAAAGTGCTGACAATTTTATTCAAGTTTCATCCTCGAAAAATGGCACTGGTCTATCAAAGCTGCTGCTACTCTCCTTTCGAAAAATAGAACTTGGCGATTGGTATTGATGCTTCCCTGCAACACGCATTCCCTCATTTCATAATTGCTTCTTTTTCTTTTCACAAGTTCTCAAGGAATTGGCTATTGGCTATTTTATTTCAGAATGCATTATGCTGGAACCGAAATGTCCGCGACATTTTAAATGGAGGTATTTGCACACCAGAAGAACCTTGGTGCAGTAGCTGAAGTTATGCACCTGCACTGCAAGATGTCAAAGAGTGAGCGTTCTACAAGGCATACAAAAGGCAGGTAGAAACGTGCTTGAGATGTCACTGTGCGCTTTGCCACTCTTCGTAGTTACCGACGCTGACAGCGCGCTTGAGAGAAAAATGCAAAGAAATTGCGAGGAACAAAATAGTGCTGTAGTAGTACCAAAGTGAGAAGATTGGGAAGGGAGATGGGGGTTCGAGCACATGCTCGCGGACAAAATAAACAGTAAAAGCATTTTCACGCAAAATGTGTGGGTGACACCACCCAAAGACAGATCCGTGCACATAAAAGAACTCTACACTAGCATGGAAACACAGTATATAGAAACATTTGGAAGCTTTTCACGAGACAGTGCAATGTCCGTAACGATCGCAATGAATTCAGGAAGGTAACTCATTCTACGCACGAAAGGCAAATGGTTGAACTGAATTAATTAATGTGTCTGTTCAGCAAGAGGTATAAAGAAAACTTTTACTGCATGGCACATAGGGATAATCTATTCAGAAGTTCACTTGGTTACTGACAGCTGTACTAGAAATAATAAATTAAGCATGAGCATAAGATAATTACTGCTGTCATTAAACTATTTAAGCATGAGAATGGATGTGTTTGTATTTACTGCTCGTGACTGACTTGGGATTGAAAAACTAAAGTACATATCTAAGTGCAGAAAAATGTTTTATGAAAAGATTATGAAAAGAAAACAATGCCAATAATGCCCGAGACAAATTTGTAGTCGACATATCTGAACATGTATGACTCAATCTGTCTCTTGTGTTTAAAGGGATAGTTCAACGAAATTGGGAATACTCCTGTCGTGTTCAAAAATAGGTTGAATATGATCCACAATATCCGTAAATGACAATCGCGCGTTTGTATTTTGAGCCTGGTGGCTGTATTTTTCGTTATAAACGGCCGACTCTGGCAAGCGCTCGGAGAAGGCCCAGCGGAGACCACGTGACATGGGTCGTCTTGGGACGAGCAAAGCTACGGAGAGGCTCACGTCGAGAGGATGGCCTAGTCGCTCCAGCCACCGAAGCGGCTGCTTTTGTACGAATTTTGAGTGACAGGTTAATCTTGTAGGGGGACGATAGCGACTTCTGCGACACACAAAAGGCATCTCGAGAAGAGGGAAGTTCCTCCTACCCCTCTTCTGTCGTCGTGGCCGGAGGCGAGACACTCACCGTCACTAGCTGTCAAGGTTCCTAGACGGGCATTACAAGCGAGGCGTTAGCAACATCCACCAGGTGCTCTTTGCTAATCGTTTTAAAATTCCTTTTCGAGGCTTTTTTAACAAGATATTGGTATGTTCGATGTGATACTGCTCCTTTGAACAGATATAGACCAGAAAATGAGCGTCGAAATTTCGTTGTAGTATCCCTTTAAGATATTAAAAAAAAAGACTGCTTGTTAACATGATAAAATGGCACGGTTGCTCTGAGGTGAAGCACTGGCTTTACACAATTATGCGCGACTTTTGCACAAGTATGGAAGCAAGACGGAAAAGTAGAAGTCGTCTAGTGCTGCCTTGCATTCTGACCAGTTTCTATCAGAAAAATAAATTCTTTCCACAATCAAAAACTGATGGGAATAAACCACAAAGTCACCCCACAGCAGCCCAGAGAGAGCCATCTGTCCATGGATTTGGTAGTAGTTCGTGTGATTCCTGTTGAGGCGGTATATGCCTGCAGCGTCCTTCTCCATGTAGAAATTGACTGCAGTGTCGAGGCCTCCATCTTTCAGGGTGTAGGGACACTTTACCTCAACGACTCCATGAGGAGTCGCTTCCGCTGGATCCCACACGAGCCTGTCCGGAGACGCCCCAAGCCACGGGCAGTCTGGACGAACAAGAATGCCGCAGGGGAATGTCTGGATGTCATGCCCCAGGGCTCGCAAAGAACTTTCGTAGCGCTGTATGGCGACCGGCTCATACTTGATGCCATGCCTATTGGAATATAAAAGGCGTGTAAAGGTCAGAAACCGGATGCCGAGAAAGAATTTGAAAAAAGGCTCTGGAATTAGACACAAACACGGCAATGGCTACCCCACATTCAGACTGAATTTAGTCATACCCACTGCTCAGTCATGGCTGCATGGTCACTGACACTTTATCGGGAGCTTTGTGTTTTATCGCTCATCACTGATGAGACACATGACAGTAATGGTGTGCTTGCACGACGAATATTTTTCCCGCGGATAGAGCTAAACGTTAATCACGAAGGTTCTGTAGGTGGCTCACAGTCTTCCGAGAGATTCTCGAAAACAGGAAGGCACCGTCCTTTTGGGAAAGGACTAACGGCAGTTGCAATAAACTGCAAAGCACTTTTCTTTGGTTTTTTTTTATTTTTTTACTCTTCCTTTTGTGCCTTGAGAATGCGATTGTCACAAACAGACTCATGAGAGCACAAGAACTTCAGACACCGAAGACATGCGATTCCGTCGTGCGAGCACCCGCTCAGATTTTCCTCACTACTTCCTCCTCCTTGTGGCTTTCCCCCCTCGCAGGTCAACGAAATACTTGGTACTCTCTGCAGAAATACCTCCCTCATGTGTATACATCATAAATAGCGTCGATAGCACCGCCATTTTGGTTATATAAACCGGTGTTCTCTTTTGTTGTAAATTATGAGAAGAAGCAGATGCACAGAACAAGTTCACCACTCCTTCGGATGGAGGGAAGTTCGTTCTGCCATAATGCCTTCCCAGCAATAGGCTTCCGCCAAACTGTGGGCACCCCAGGGTCCGAACACGCCAAGTGACGCTCTAATGTAAGCTTTAATTCAAGAGCTGTTTCCTCCAAGGAAATTTTATAATCACCTGACTGCACGGACGTGAGAGAGATCCTTGGGTGAAGTCAAGTTGATGAGGCCTTTCGTAGTCCAGCTCTCTCTTGTGGCAGCATCCCCAAAGCAGGAGGCTGTGAGTCGGGTCTGCCGGGCTGCCTTCCACAGCGGACTTTTAGACTGTTGTCGAGTGTTTCTCTCCAAACATCTAGCCTCCGTAGAAGTCACCAGGAGAGACTGAGAAAATAGTAGCCTTTGTTAGTTGGTTGGAATCATTGACACCCAACGCATGAAAGGGGCGACATCTGAACGCATAGGTCACAACGAACATGCAATTGATTAATTCTCTGCTGGTACACAAATAGGTGCCGAAGGTCTTACACACCATTGGTGCCTATGGTGGCTTGGAGCTCATGGCCATGAGCGACTATGTGAATAGCTAATGCCACATCTCAGACTTGTTTTTTGAAACGGGTTGACGGTTGTAAACAAGGGATAAATAAAGTTAAAAATACTTGAAGGAATAACCTTGTGCTGGTGTGCATTGCTTCTAGCACTGGCACAGCTACAAACATGACAGTTTTGCAAAGGCTCTTGTTCTACAAGGTCCTATGTGTGCGAGAAACGGTATGCCACTTTTACCACTCGGACTCTTCAAGTTCTTTTGAGTTGCAGTCAATGGTGCCAGCCAGAATAGTGAATGACATAAAGAAACATCAGCTTGTACTCTATTTTTACACATGCCAGCCATAACTGATGTTTGGGCGATAGGCTCATCAGCAGCCAAAATGGCCCTGGCAGATTCACTTGGGCGGCTCCAAAGAGAAAACACATTAAGAAACCGTCTAGCGATCCAAACACGTCCCCAATCATGCATATTGAGTTATCTCGTTGGTCGAGCCACTCGTCATGCTTCTGATATTTAAAAGCACAAAATATAAAACTACTGAAAA